CGGAGTGATGGGGAGATGGAGTGATGGGGACGTGGGGCATGGAGTGGTGGGAACATGGAGTGATGGGGATGTGGGACACAGTGATGGGGACATGGAGTGATGGGGATGTGGGACACAGTGATGGGGACATGGGGCACGAAGTGATGGGGATGTGGGACACAGTGATGGGGACATGGAGTGATGGGGACATGGGACACGGAGTGATGGGGACATGGAGTGATGGGGACGTGGGACACGGAGTTATGGGGACATGGAGTGATGGGGACGTAGGACACAGTGATGGAGACATGGAGTGATGGGGACGTGGGACATGGAGTGATGGGGGCATGGAGTGATGGGGACATGGAGTGATGGGGATGTGGGACACAGTGATAGGGACATGGAGTGATTGGGACGTGGGACACGGAGTGATGGGGACATGGAGTGATGGGGACATGGAGTGATGGGGACGTGGGACGGAGTGATGGGGGCATGGAGTGATGGGGACATGGAGTGATGGGGATGTGGGACACAGTGATGGGGACATGGAGTGATGGGGACGTGGGACATGGAGTGATGGGGACATGGAGTGATGGGGATGTGGGACACGGAGTGATGGGGACATGGGGCACGAAGTGATGGGGACGTGGGACACAGTGATGGGGACATGGGCTGATGGGGACGTGGGACATGGCTGAGTGACAGGGACATGCAACATGGCATGATGAGGATGGGGGACATGGCTGAGCAATGGATGTGGGACACAGCTGTGATGGGGACAAAGGACACGGCTGAGTGATGGGGACATGGAGCGATGGGGACGTGGGACACAGCTGAGTGGTGGGACCTGGGACATGAAATGGTGGGGACAAAGGACATGGCTGAGTGATGGGGACATGGAGCGATGGGGACATGGGACATGGAATGGTGGGGACAAAGGACATGGAGTGGTGGAACCTGGGACATGAAATGGTGGGGACAAAGGACATGGCTGAGTGATGGGGACATGGAGCGATGGGGACATGGGACATGGAATGGTGGGGACAAAGGACATGGCTGAGTGATGGGGACATGGAGCGATGGGGACATGGGACATGGAATGGTGGGGACAAAGGACATGGCTGAGTGATGGGGACCGGGGACGTGGCTGAGGAATGGAATGTGGTACCCAGGGCCTGGAGTGGAGGATCTCGGAGCAATGCTCACCCCCAGCTCTGCACCCATTGTGTCCTTGCACCCATCACGTCCTTGCACCCATCGTATCCTCGCACCCATCTCGTCCTTGTACCCATCGCCCTGCCACGGTGCAGGACAGGGCTGGCCCCTCCCAGCCCCTCAGTGCAGGCGCAGACGCCCACATTTCCCAACTTCTCTTGGCCTTTCCTTTGGGAATCCAGCCGGTTCCATCCTATTTTCCCTGGAAGGCTCCAGGGCCCCCGGAGGTGCTCGCCTGGGGGAGGTATCTTGGGGTGCCATCGGTGCTGCTCCCACAGACAGGGCACCTGAGCACCGCTCTGACCAGGTTGTCTGAAAAAAAAAAAGGGTTTTTTCCAGGGTGAGGAAGTTTCCGCAGTGTTGGTGGGAACCCAGCGGGGTGTCCCTGACCCACTGCCCTCACCCCACGGGGACAGGAGGGTTGGGGACAGGAGGGATGGGGACAGAACAGAGGAGGCCAGGCAGGATGAGGCCAGGGCAGGATGAGGCCAGGGCAGGACGGGGACAGCATGGAATTAGGGACAGGGAGGATGGGGGCAGGGACAAGCAGGATGAGGCCAGGACAGGATGGGGCCAGGAAAGGACGGGGACAGGATGGATGAGTCCAGAGCAGTTTGGGGACAGAAAAGAAGGGGCCAGGCAGGATGGGGACAGGGCCAGGCAGGGTAGGGACAGTCAGGATGAGGCCAGGGCAGGATGGGGACAGGGACAGGCAGGCTGGGAATGGGATGGGATGGGATGGGATGGGATGGGGACAGGGACAGACAGGATAGGGACAGTCAGGATGAGGCCAGGGCAGGATGGGGACAGGCAAGAGGGGGACAGGATGGGATGGGGACAGGGGACAAAATGGGGACAGACAGGAGGAGGACAGGCAGGATGGGGACAGGGCAGTTTGGGGACAGGGACAAGACAGGACAGGGATAGAGAGGATGGGGCTGGTGTGGAATGGGGACAGGGGACAAAATGGGGACAGGCAGTTTGGGGACAGGCAAGGATGGGGACAGACAAGACAGGGACAGACAGGAGGGGCCAGGCAGGATGGGGACAAGATGGAACAGGGCCAGTCAAGAGGGGGCCAAGGCAGTTTGGGGACAGGCAGGATGGGGTCAGTGTGGAATGGGGACAAGGGACAAAATGTGGACAGGCAGTTTGGGGACAGGGCAGGATGGGGATGGGGACAGGGCAGGATGGGGATGGGGACAAGACAGGATGAGGACAGGGCAGGATGGGGACAGGCAAGAGGGGGACAGGATGGGATGGGGACAGGGGATGAAATGGGGACGGACAGGAGGGGGACAGAGCAGTATGAGAGCAGGGACAAGACACTACAGGGACAAACAGAATGGGGACAGACAGGATGGGATTGGTGTGGAATGGGGACAGGGGACAAAATGCGGACAGGCGGTTTGGGGACAGGGCAGGATGGAGACAGGGTGGGATGGGGACAGGGAAGAGGGGGACAGCATGGGATGGGGACAGGGGATGAAATGGGGACAGACAGAAGGGGGACAGACAGGAGGGGGACAGGGCAGGATGGAGACAGGGACAAGACACTACAGGGACAGGGACAGGATGGGGACAGGCAGGATGGGGTCGGTGTGGAATGGGGACGGGACAAAATGGGGCCAGGGCAGTTTGGGGCCAGGGCAGGATGGTGACAGGGACAAGAGAGGACAGGGACAGGGTGGGATGGGGACAGGCAAGAAGGGGACAGAATGGGATGGGGACAGGGGATGAAATGGGGACAGACAGGAGGGGGACAGGGCAGGATGGGGACAGGGTGGGATGAGAGCAGGGACAAGACACTACAGGGACAGGCAGGATGGGTCGGTGTGGGATGGGGACAGAGGACAAAATGGGGCCAGGGCAGTTTGGGGCCAAGATGAACAGGGCCATGCAGTTTGGGGCCAGGGCAGCCTGGG